CTTGAAAGTTGTTTTCCTGTACGTGTACTCGATTCGCTCTCAGCAATCTCTTCCGAATCATCGTTTGCCGTGAGATCTGTGTTCTGGTCCTCCTCCAGATCCACAGACACGGTCGACGTCGATCTGCGCTCTTCTGCCTTTGGGTGTTCTAGGTCTGCCTCGACGTCGACCACCTTTGCGCCTTCTGTTGTGTTGACTTCATCCATCTCAGTAGTCATTCTCACTGATGTTGTCTGTACTGACGGCGTTGCAGGTTGTGCTCGTTTGCTCAGTTGCTAGGGACTCCGACACTGTCGTGGATAACAGCTCAGTAGACCCTTCAGTGATCTCAGTTGAGCTCATGGAAGTGGAGGGCATGAAGGTCGTCGAGGTGGTGGAGGTCGTGGAAGAAGTGGATGCTGTTTGGGTAGCGGAATCAGTGCTAGCTTGAAGTAGTTGCTAGATCGTTGATCTCCTCAGCTCTTTCGATGGCTATGGGTGCATCTGCTTCGTGCTGAAAAAAGCCAAGGCTTCGTGTAATATTTTAGTAATGGATCAGCTTATAGAAATCGAAGTTTCGTTTTTCAGAATGCGTCATTGGAATAGTGCCCAAGAACGCAGGCGCTTCAAATTTTGTCTTACCATACTACCTATTTACTTAAAAAGACCTTGGCAAAGGCGCGTCCGCTCTTAACATCCGCCTCAATTGACTTACAACAAAAATCCCCACGCTTAGAGGGCGAAAAATCCAATTGTGTATAAGTCAGAAAAATGCACCGTTGCGACGCGACTGCGCTGCAGGTGAAATGCAAGCAGCTCCTCTTGCAACCACAGAACCCTTTTTACAACTAGCGACCAATATTGGCCTCAAAGACGCACACCGCGATCATGTCGGTATGATTCTTGCATGCGAAAGTGATTGGGTTGCGAAGTAGACAGTTAGTAGGAAGAAAAAAGATCAGCTGGATTCACTGAAATTAAGGGTTGCCTTACTTCTTTTGAGGTAGGCTGTGCTACCACAAAGAGAAATTGAGCGCCGCGGAGAGAGAATGAGAAAGAGAAGAGGGCGCAGACACCCAACCAAACCTATCGTTGCCATGCATGCAGCGGTAGCCTTTGACGGCATGGCAAGGTCTTAGCGCCTTGTTAAACCCTTTCATACCGCAAGAACGACTCCTGCGACCTCCGCAAATAGCTCAACCCCAGCCACCATAGGAATTGGTCGATGTACTTCTGATACCTCATATAATAGAATAACATTCATGGAAAAGAGCAAAGGGTGGAGCTGTTACTCACCGTGTTCACTTGAGCTACAGATATGTTGGTGATTGAATGTCTTGGGTGTCCTTCTTTCCCAACCAGAAGGTCTGTCTCCATTCGGAACACTGTTGGAGATGGGACAACCTAAATAGATTCATCGAAGAATGCCAACGGGAAGGAAAAGCAAAATCACTATTGGGATTACTTTTGAATAAAGGAAGAAATGAGAGAGTGCAACAGGCAAGGGAAGGGGAATAAGGAGAAAGTTCAGATGAGCGAAAAACGTTCCCGCCTGGACAAGCGTAGGCGCACAGCTATTTAGCGCCAACCAAACGGCTTCTAGCGTGCCTTCGATTCCTAAAGATGCAGCCCCTCATATAATATGGATCATTGGGACCGAAAACCTGGGTAGTCCTTTTGAACACCAGAATGGGGATAGAACGATTGAATGAATATGTGAATACTAGTTGGTCTCGCCGTTCAGTAGTTAGCTGAGGCACTGGTCGGGTAGTAGTAAATCGCTTCGATCATCAACTGAGGCTCTCAAGAGGCGGTCACGCCAAAAGTCAGCCGTTAACAAAGATCAGTGACAACCTCGCGGAAAGTTTAACAGAAAAGTCCAGAAGGTGAATACAATTCGAGGTTATGGTGGAGCACACGTAAAGTAGTAGGTGTAAGACTTTGCAACCAATTGGGGTGAAAATGTTCAGACGTCGGAGGGCCACTAATCCAATCGAGGCGGAGTTGCGGACGACAACACATACTTATCAAAATAGAGCTGAAAGGAAGGCACCGAGTATTTTATCTTTCACTGAGAACCGTGGCCTACGACTAGTACGTTTACCCTTGTCATATTATTCTATGGCTAAAATGGCTGCTACCTTGCTGGCTCTTCACTTTCCCTTCTTGCGACTGCCATGCGAGCCCTCGAAGAGAGGACCTTTCAGGTATCCGATTTTGTATGGAATCTCGAGTTGGTATCCCTATCTAATCATACATTCAGAGACTGTGTCTGGATGGTGATTAGATATGACCGCCCTTCCGCAGCTCCACTTCGATTAGATATTATGAGTGGCCCCCTCAAACTACATTTTCACCCCAACTGGCAGCAATCTGAGTGGTACGAGCGATGCGCTCTAGCGATTTGAAGTATGCGCCAGCATTCCAGCATGCGATTAGGTACTAGCAAATGTTGGGCTCGGATTGGAGTCGAACCCGTGACCTCGCCTGTGAGTCAGGTTCACCACCGCTGCACCTTTGCTTCATACCTTTTGTCAGAAAATCACCACAGAAAGCGACAAGTTTGAAGTCAGTGTCTAGATCCAAGTATACAGGTACGCAATTTTAAATGAGCGGACTGCCTGATTGGCCTTTCTTTATCAACCAGATTGGTCCCCCGTCAAACGCACGGACCTTCCTTCCTGCGCAATGCTTCTCAATCTTCCGCTAGGTCCTTCCCCCTGTGCACCACACCCAAACGCGTCCAAAGTGAAAGACGCGTATGCCACAAGTTCATACAGTAGAAGGGACACAATCATGATATGACGGTAGATTTTTCGCTTCCCTTCCTCATCCTCCCTTCCTCTCTCCACTGCCCTCCAGCTGCCACTGCAGCACCATGTGGAATGAACGGAAGTGTGCTAAGCAGGTGTTTATATAGCCCTAAGAGTGTTATCACAACTATCCTGCTACAAAACATTGATATCTCAAATCCTGTAAGCTACCCGATTTGTTAGCGGTTTGTTTATCCCATGAGCTTCCTTCTCACTCACTTCATTTTGCGGACGGACACACACGGACATACATACTTACATACATACATACATACATACACACATACATACAAACCGACACACCAAGTTAACGGTTTATGAAATAGAAAGATAGTGCTACTGGGTGCGTCAGCGATTAATCATGAGGTCTAATGAGCTTACTCGAGTTGGGAGGTCCCTGGAAGGAAGTACTTCGGCCTTGGCGGTGAAGGCGGATTGCGAAGATTGGGACGACGTCTTTCCAACTTTTTTCGGCCGCTGTCGACTTGTCTACTTGACCACATTCACCGCATCGATTGACTGCATGATTAACTGAACGATTTTGAAACTGACACGTGTATGTTCCAGCTAGGGGGGGGGGCTTAGGCTGCAGTAAGTTTGTCAGCTAGGGATGCTTCCGGAGGGCTAAGAGCTCCAGAAAACACTATAAACCAACTTCTTGTGTAAGAAGAAGGCTAGTGAGTATTTTTTTCTTTGAAGCTTAATTATATGAAAGATCTTCGCCGCGACCAAAAAATTGACCCTGGAATGCTATACAACGAGGCGTGGGACACTTCTGCCTCTGATAAGCCAATAAATTTGAGAATTTGCAAAAAACTTTCTAAAAACGGAAATGCTCTAAACGATAGATGTGCCTTTATCGTACTAAACTCAGATCGTGGATAAAAATTCGCTGAATTGACAATTGAGCCATCCAGTAGTCCATAGGCATCCATATTGCATTAGCTTCGGGAAAATTCACAATATAGTTCTGTTTCTGCTATGCTGGACGGAATTCGACGGTGTGGCCCAGCCCAGTGGAATAGCTCGATAGTGACCCGCCGCTCCCTCGCTTTCTGTCACAACATGCACTAAGGCGTTTTACAATGAAATGGAGCCGCACTGAAAAATACCAGATCATGATATACCGAAGAAGAAAAAACCCGAGAAAATGGCTTAAAATGAGACATCTTTTTTGCTCGTTGATTTGCGCATTGCTGCAACTCTCATTGGTGGTGCCCCCTTTAAATTTCTCTCACTCTGCTAAACGCTAGAGATTCAGACAAGAGGAGGCCCGAGTAGGGGGTTATACCGCACCAATAGCGCGCCAACTGCAGCGCGAGAAAGGCCTTGCTAGACAGGGTCAACCCTACGTTGTTACGAGTAACAACGGGGGGTCGTACCTGGTTGAGTTTGTAGGGGGGGGGGTCGTACCCACTTTAGTCGCTCGAAATCACGTGTGGGATTGAGGTGAAACTATAGATTTCCCCCCCCCCCCCGCTCGACGGCATTTTTGGAGGGAAAAGTGGGCGGGGTTTTGATGGAAGATGGAGATGGTGGAGGTAGGGAAAAGGGGGTCGTATCAAATCCACGTTGGGGGAGGGGGGTCGTAAAAATTTTTCGAAAAGTAACAACGATAGGACAGACCCTGTTGCTAAGATCGCCGGAGGCGCGCCCTTCGGTTCGAACTGCGTATCTGACGCACGCTTAGAAATTCCGTCTCTTCGCTAGGTAAGTTTCACCTTCTTCGACCATCCTTATCGTGGAATCCTCTAAGCCTGCCGGTACACGCTCGTGCTACGTAAGTGATCATCAAAACGAATTCGTCTTCCTCTCCCTAGCGTCAATCTTGCGCCTTCACAGAATCCGCCGTTCTTTGGCTTGTCCAAGGCATCTTCCACCGTAGCATTCACTTCATAAGTAACGTCGCTCCAATCATTTCTTGAGTTTCCTCAAAATGCGTGAGTGGGTGGGGAGTAGACGAGATGCCTTGGACCTCGATCAATAGCAATAAAGCTCGCTGTGATTTAGGTTTTGTTCGGCATCACCAAGCACTTAGCTATCTCGAGTTCCTGCCCATAATCAGTTCTGCTTCGGTTCATTACACTACAAGGACAGTAGGTCGTCCCCGTTGCCAGGAAGACTCGGTCAACAGCAAATCTATATGTCTCCGCTCTTATCAAAATCTCTGCTGTTAATTGCGAAGGGAATGGGTGAGGAGTTTAAGATTTAACCATTCACGCCGAAACACTTACCAGTGTTGTTACAGCTAGTGCAGTGAAACGGCGTGACACGGACCAAACCAAATTTGGGGCGCTTATGGAGTTGACTGTAAATGGCACACACCTAAAATTAAACAGAGGTATACAGTAACAGAGGAACTAGAAGGCTGGCCAACTTTTCTGAATATTACTCACTTGGACTCCATAAACCTGGTCTTCTGCCACATCCAGTGCAAGGCTGGTTACCGTACCGTCAGCTTTGATATCTCTCTTTGTGGCAATTTGCCAAATCATCAAAGGAGAATTACTCTAAAATAGTGAACAAATAACACTTACAAAGAGAGCTCGTTTCAAGCATATGCATTCTTAGGACCCACCTTGATCTGTGCTGGACCATATAGCGATCATGGTAGAAGAGTGGAACTCGTGGCGGTGGAAGCCATGTGATGGTAGCTCGACCACTCTTTCCACCTACCGCTTCTATTTCCATGCACATAGGGCCAGTTTCTGCAAAACTTGTGGATTTTTAAATAAGCTCCAGGGGAGACAAAATTTTCATTGCAGCTCAATAAGCGCTGAGGCCTACCCAGGCTGAATTACACAGTAAAACGTGCTTCACTGGCTACAAATATGAAGGCCGTCGAAAGTTCAGGACACGGTTACTCACCTTTTCTGCAAATTTCCATGTCGAAGTTTCCGATTGCAGTCGATTTCGATGTTCTTTTGAATGCTGAACGGTTCAAGGCGGACACATCTGAAACCTTGTCTTCTTAAATCCAATTTTCGGTAGTTATAGACATTATTCGAGATTGACTATCACATCTCCAAGACATCTCATCATCATCTCATCTCGTCCCTGAAGGGTTGTGTTAGGCCATTGTAGAAGATAGGATAGGAACTAGTCACTTCCGTACATGAGGTGATCAGTTCACAGCCAACCCAAGCAAATTCAGAAGCTGGGGATCAATCTAGTATGTGAGTAGGACAAAGTTTAACAGGTAGGTAAAAGATGCGCTATGTTTGATCGTCATTCACAACGGCACCACACCCCTCGGCCTGGGCCAGAAAAGCCCAAATTGTTTCTATCGATGCAACGACCCCATAGGGATTATGTGTCTTGCTCGTCTCCTATGTTCTGCCACTTTGTTTCTCCCTCTGGTGCGCCTCTATAATCCTTTTGTCCTTCCCCATCATTTGGCATGCCCAGACCTCAATCGAAGGAGATACTTATTTGACCATGAAAATGAACTCGGAATTAATCAATTCCCTTCAGGATGTGCCATGGCCATTACACATCTCGAATACGATCTAACCTGTACGATTTACAGTGCAATTTATAATTCAATTTACAACCCCTTCGACGAATCTATTAACTTTTCAGATTCCCACTGCGGTGCAGAATAAGTGAATGGATCGAGGAGATCCCACCCGCGCGCAGGGATTTGACCCCCCTCCCTCCCTTCCTTCCCCCTCCGAGATCGTTGGCGTGATGAGCGGTGCTATCAGTCAGCACCACTACACGTACCAAATTTGGAGGCAGCTCTCCAAAATCTGTTTCCTTGAAAAGGCTGTCGAAGGTTTTGCTAAAGAAGGCGTCACCATTTACAAGGAATTTCAAAATAACTGTGGTGATGCTAAACATCAAAATTTCGAACATTAGGGAAAATGTTATTGAAAATATCTCATCGTTCACCTTGGTAGCATTCTGACCTCCACCCATAAACGACACCGACCCTCGAGAACAGACAACGGCAGCGTAACGGCCAGTCGACCACCAGCTCGGACGATCTCCTAAACATCATGGAGTCATTGAGGGCTATTGAACAGAAGGTGCTGTAGGTGCAGCTTTGAAGCTAGCAAAAAAACGCCGGAAGCAGTCGAGCTTTGGTGGACGTTCAACTTTGAACTGATTTAGAGGTCATCAAAACACCCTACATAAAAATAAGATATGAAGGAAAACAACATTCACTAGGCTGTTCTTGTCACATTACTCATTTGTTCTGCTCATTAGACAGAACAGAGTCTCGAACGATAACCTCGAGCGAGAACACGGTGGGTCATATTTTGGGGAATGGGCATTGCATTCTGTAAGAAATATTTCTTTTTTGTCTGAGAAGAGAAGAAACTTAAAGAGTATTACATTCACAGAAGAGTATTACATTCACACGCTTGCTCGTGTAATGAATCAAATCAAATCAAACTTCATGACGAGCTTTATACTTCATCTCCCCTCAACTTATATCAGTTGGAAGTAGGTCCGGTTACACTACAGGAGGGTTCCCGAAGTGCTCGTACGAATGTTACAGAGACGCCCGTCAGGATAAGGGAGGTTGTGCCGATTCCGAAATCAGCCCAAGGCGATGGTTGATCTTGTTATAGGAGCACCAGCTTACATTAGTAGTTCTCGTTGGCAGAGTTAACCTTTAGTACTTTGCGGTGGCTTCACATCACCAGTATCTCCACTGGTGGCAGTTGAACTTAGTGTTCCCTGATAATTCTTTTCAATGTCGTATTTGTATTCTAATGAATTTCGCTCTTTAAAGAGTTTTGGTACTTGAACGAAAACCTGCTAATTCAGAGTCCAACATCAACTTACAATTTTCGGCTGCGGGAGCTCATCTTCAGGAGTCCGACATTGTATAGGATATAATGCCGGAGCTTCATATCCATAGATGTCCGAATCGGAGTAACCCCTAAAGTCACGGAATCATTCATACTGTCTATAGAAATCAAGTCATTAGCACTATTCATATTTAGAAATAATAAAGCATAAAACATTTGGCGTTGATCGATCTACTTTGGGATGCGCCGTGCATTCAAATTCCATTCCGAACCCACAACTTGTCAGCCAAATCTCGAATTTGATTTAGCCTGCACAATAAAGTGAGCAACAATTACATCATCCTGTGTTTTTATTCTTCAAGATCAATGGTATCGAAAAAAAGCGACTCTGGTGGGCCAG